TCATGATATTTTCGTAAAATTTCAATGATATTTTGGATTTGGTTGGTGTGGAAAATTCTGTTAAATAAAAATTCTGTATCATATCTATCATTGATCTGTTGGTATAAAATATTAATTTACAGTCGTCAAAGAAACATCTGTTCAGTGGGAGATTTTGCATTTACTATAAATACGTGACCAAATCTAGCATTGGACAGTGTATCAACAAGTCTTTATAAATATAATATCAACAGGTCTTGCTAACGTTAAAACCATGAATAACCTATTATGTTCCGTTCTGTTGATTTCAGTTATACTTATTCTTACAGACGCTGGTAAATATTTTATTTATTATCTAAAAGTTGCTTTATGAATCTAAAGTCAAAGTTTGTATACCTGAGCGAAATTTATGTTAGCTTTTTTTATTGTGGGAAGAGTCTGAGTCAGAAGAAATTTACTCAAGACAACTTTCTTCAGCAGCATGGATAACTAGCTTAAACACATTTTAAATCATCTTTGTCTGTAAATAGTAAATTAACATGTAGTTCTTGAGACAAATACTTGATGATATAATTGTCGGGGGGTAGTGTATCGAGTCAGAAGTAAATAATGGCAACAAATAATATCAAAATTAAATTAACAGGTTGTTTAACGTATCCTAATATAACAGACGCAAATTTTGATAAAGATTGCAATGGAAATGCAGTCATTACATGTTATGAAGGTTTCAAGATGATACAAGGGCTGGAATGTGTTGAGGAAGAATGGAGATATCAAAACCCAATATGTAAACGCACAGGTAAGATAATTTTAAATACTTGAATTACAAATAAACAATATTATAGCTTTGATACATCAAATCGCTCAGTGAAGAGTTTATATCACCTTCCTCGATACATGTTATAATACATTATATAGTGTAATTCAAATCAATAAACTTCATGAAACTGTCTGGAGAGCTTAACATCTTTAGATTAAAGAATATTATTGTAGTGCGATCATTTCTTCAATCAAAATAAATAATTAACAGATTACCTAATTTGATTGATTTTGGTGTCAATGGAAAGTACAATCTATTGTCAAGAAGTTGTATTTACCTGGTTTTTAAATTTCGATTCCATTGTTTTTTTAATACCAGATTTATTTTTTTGAAAATTACCAAACTTTCATGGCTTGTATCTTGTGACCTTGACTTTTGTTGATCTTGTGACCGGAATAGAAGTGATATCCCACGAAAAGGCTGTACACGTTAAAGATATCTCGACAGTTGGAAATCGAAAAAGAGTAGGTTAATGCCGCTGTCCTGGTAAAAATTTCCCTCATTGCACACTGCATGGCGTTGCCCGTCTTCAATCATTAGCCCACATGATGCAGAAAAGTAGGACGTAAAACTCCATTCATTTCATTTTTCAAATTTTGTCATTGATATTTTAGAATGTGGGTACAAGTACAAAATTTCCCTCATTGTACACTGCATGACGTTGTCCGTCTTCATTAGCCCAATTATAAAAGTAGGACGTAAAATTCCATTCCTTTTATTTTTCAGAATGTCGCTACAAGTATTCAAATGTAAAAGCTTTGTCGCCCAATCCCTACGGAAGAAGACCAGAATCTGATCCAGCGAAATGTGATGAAACCTGTGCTAACGATATCAGATGTTCCGCGGCTACCATGATCTGGGGTGACAATTGTGCACTTTACGAAACACCATTCATCTTCGTGTCGTTGGATGGAAAAGAAGACCAATGTATTGAAAAGTGCAACGAGATGAGTGAATGTAAAACGTTTGGCACTCGAAACGATAGTACGGGTTTGTTCTGTTATTTATTTAACGTTACCTTGGACAAGATTCCAGAGAAACTGAAACAAATTTACACTAGCGATTTTACCGTAGCAGAGAAAATCTGTGAATAATAAAAAAAAACATGTTTATCATGATATAGACCTATCTCTTTTCTATTTTTGGCAATAACCCGAAGTTTGGTTATTAGGGGGTGAAAGCCGATACCGGGCCGACTCCCGGAAGCATAGACACAGGCATCAAAATTGTTCTTACCTTCGAACCCACGGCACCTAATTGCCTAGCAGACGACAATCCAACTCGCTCACGGACTGAGCTGTTCTTCTGCCAACCCAGCGTAAGAAGGATTTGACGTTTACGTTGTGAACCCCTTCAGAGAGATATTCATATAGCCTGACACGGGCAAGGATAGGTATTAGGGGTTGAGAGCCAACTCCGGGACAATTCTAGGAAGCACTGGCACGGACAGGATAGATGTGGCAGATAGAAATCATCACCGATGAAATTTCGGGTATCGTGACGTCACCGTCTGTTGAGAAAGGGAAACTATGCCGAGCGAGTCGGAGCTGGTGCCCCAGTCTACTCAGCCGCTGATTTGGAATATTTGGCTGCTGAAGTTCTCGAGTTGGCTGGTAACGCTGCCCGTGACAACAAGAAATCCAGAATCATTCCAAGACATTTACAGTTGGCTATCCGAAATGACGAGGAATTGAACAAGCTGTTGTCCGGAGTAACCATCGCTTAAGGTGGTGTCCTCCCCAACATCCAAGCCGTTCTCTTACCCAAGAAATCCGAGAAGGCTGCATCCAATTAAATCAAGCGATTTATTTAGAATACACAAAAACGGCCCTTTTCAGGGCAACCCAAAATCTCAAAAAAGAGTGAAAAAAGTCTAAATCTTACATTTCAAAATAAAGGAATGTCCCCAATATCCCCTGTCTAATAAGGACAAATCGCTATATAAACACTCACGGCTTGTGGTGTGTCAGCGTGACATACATACATACATACATACATACATACATTCATTCATTCATTCATTCATTCATTCATTCATTCATTTATCCATACGTTCGTTTACATAGTCACTCATTCAATCACTCGTTTGGATTAGACCAGATTAACGAATTACTAATTAGATTTTTACCGTGGCCCATTGGGGACATTTGCAATTTTTTTATTTTTCGACGTTTCTCAGTGATTTGAGAGCAGAAGAACTGCAGAAAACAGGAATTGAAATTGTGAAAATTCGAGAAACCGACAAAAAATAGAAGGAATGGAGGGAAATAGAGAAACTTTAATTTGAAAGATGACACAAAATACATAAAAATCACAAAAATTCATAAAAACAATAATTAATCAAAATCGTAAAAATAGTTAAAACATGAAAAATTAAATTTTCCAAAATATTATGAAAAACACAAAAAATTCAAAGTGAAATCGCAAAAATTAATTTCAACCGCGGTGGTAATACATTTCAACCGTGGTGGTAATACATTTCAACCGCAGTGGTAATACATTTCAACCGTGGTGGTAATACATTTCAACCAAGTGGTAATACATTTCAACCGCGGTGGTAATACATTTCAACCGTGGTGGTAATACATTTCAACCGCGGTTGAAATTAATTTTTGAGATTTCACTTTGAATTTTTGGTGTTTTTCATAATATTTTGGAAAAATTAATTTTTCATGTTTTCACTATTTTTACGATTTTG